TCTGGAGGAAATCATAGGCTGGAGGAGGAGACAGCTATAACCCAAGGACTGTAATGCTAAATACACTGATCCTTAGTTTGAAAATGCTGCAGGGCTTTAAGGGCAAAGAGGGGGCAGGACTCTATGTCACCCTCTGCTGGGAGCATCAGGAAGGTATTTTAGTTTGGGCTGGTTGGTTTTTTTCTGGTTTTTACAAGAACACCAAAAATACTTTATTAGCTCTCAAAAAAGCAGCCATTACAAGGCACATGAAGTAGAAACATACCATAGCAGTCAAAGGCTTAGGGTTATATACAATTATAGCTGTTTTTCTTTTGTAGCCTTGCCCATAGCCAGAGGGACGTAAACTAACATTCTGCAGCACCGCTCAGGAAACTCAGGGACACTCGCCAGTGGTTCTGAGCACATTAACAAAAAGACACAAGAATGGATTCGACCACCCTAGTGAAAAATGTCTAGGCTAGAACTGTAAATTCAGTTCAATACTACGAAGCAAACGCTAAAACTTGGTATTACTTCCCGATAGCTCACTCAAGTAGTATCTCGTACTATTCTGAGTGACAAAAAGGTGCAAAGTAAACTTATTTACAGATACAATGGTTGAACAGTCCCTTTTAAATCTGCAATTTAGGGGGCGCCTGGGTGGCTCAGTCGATTGAGCACCCGACTTCGGCCCAGGTCACGATCTCGCGGTCCGTGAGTTCGAGCCCCGCGTTGGGCTCTGTGCTGACTGCTCAGAGCCTGGAGCCTGTTTCACATTCTGTGTCTCCCTCTCTCTCTGACCCTCCCCCATTCATGCTCTGTCTCTCTGTGTCTCAAAGATAAATAAACGTTAAAAAAATTAAAAAAAAAATAAATCTGCAATTTAGGTTTCAGATTCTCCATTAAAAAGTAACTGCCCTGAAACTCGATAAATTGTACTTAAGCAACTTGGCTATTAGGGTTTACAACAAAGAGAGAAATACCGCCCTCCGAATTATTAATTACAGCTTGACAATTACTTCAACATCAGCAGCCACTGGAGTTACTATGATCTGATTTGTCTGGGCAGCGTCTAGTCTCACTTTCTTCTTGGTTCACAAAACTATCATGGGACTGGGAACTCAGCATGGGAATCAATGATTAGACTTACACACGTCAACTTAAAAGTCACACACAGGGGGCACCTGGGTGGCTCAGTCGGTTGAGCATCCGACTGCTGCTCAGGTCATGATCTCACGGTTCATGGGTTCAAGCCCCATGTCGGGCTTTGCACTGGCAGCGTGGAGCCTGCTTCAGATTCTTTCTCTCTCTGCCCCTCCTCCACTCACTCTCTCTCTCAAAAATAAACACACATTAAAAAAAAATGTTTAAAAAGTCACACACAGGATTACACGGCAACAGCTGTTCCAAATGTCTGTTTTTTAGTTTGGGGTGGAGGGAGTGCGGGTTGTTGTTCTTGTTTGGTGTTTATTTCATAGTCATAAACTTAACTCTGCAATCCAGCTAGCCTCAGAGGAGGGTAAGGAAAATATGGGTCCCACAGAACTGCAGTGAGAACACAAAGATTAAAGGGTATTTCGAGCAGATGGGGACAAACGGGGTAGCTCCCGGCTACAGAAGGGATAGTCTTACAGCGAAGACAAAAACACAAGTCAAATTTATTAGATTTGTCCACGGTTTGCAATGACGATCTTGCCGGCCTTGCCGTGCCTGGAGCCAAAGCGTTCTGTGGCTTCCTGGATATTCCTGCCCTCTCTCACCTTGTCCAAGACCACAAGCCCGTCACGCAATCGCTCAGCATTGGCAACGCAGATGAAGAACTGGGAAGCGTTTGTCTGGGTCCAGTACTTGCCATGGGCAAGATGCCAGGACCCGTGTGCTTCACGGGTGAAATTCTCATCAAATTTCTCCCCATAGACGGACTCACGGCCAGTGCCATTACAGCGTGTGAAGTCACCACCCTGGCACATAAATCCCGGAATAAGCCTGTGAAGGCAGGAGCCTTTATAATCAAAGCCTTGCTCCCCAGTGCTTGGAGCACTAAAGTTCTCTGCTATCTTTGGAACAGAGATGCGGCCCCACGGCTCGCTGTCACCGCCAATGTCCAAGAACGCCACTGTGGGGTTGACCGTGGCTGGACGGCCTGAAACGTCTGTTTTAAGTTAAGGCACTCATTGAACTATTAATAGCTAAGGGCTTTAAATAAAATTCTACTACCAACTTGGGGCACCTGGGGGGCTCAGTCGGTCGAGCGTCAGACCTCGGCTCAGGGGATGATCTCACCGTCGTGAATACAAGCCCCGCGTCGGGCTCTGTGCCTACAGCTCAGAGCCTGGATCCTGCTTCAGATCCTGTGTCGTCTTCTCTCTCTGCCCCTCCCCTGCTCGCACTCTGTCTCTGTCTCTCTTAAAAAAATAAATTAACATTAAAAAAAAAAAAACCTCTACTACCAACTTCATAAATCTGAAATTTTGACGAGTGTTATTTAGAAAACCAGTTTACTTAACCTTTTGCAGAAGAGACAAGGAGACTGAATATAAACTATATCAACACTTAAGTGAGCTGTACTATGCCCTTGTGGCCAGAAAATTGCATTTTTTTTCCTAAAAGGAAAGCAGTCTTTATTTTTTGGACTTCCAAAGCCTACTTTATGGAACTACAAGCACCGCTGCTTTTGGAAGATTATAGAGAAATTGTTTTTGAAAAAATAACTTAAAAATTAGTCATACTCGGGGTGCCTGGGTGGCTCAGTCGGTTAAGCATCCAACTTCAACTCAGGTCATGATCTCGCGGTTTGTGGGTTTGAGCCCCGCATTGGGCTCTGTGCTGACAGCTCAGAGCCTGGAGCCTATCTGGGATTCTGTGTCTCCCTCTCTCTCTGCCCTTCCCTGGCTCGCACTCTGTCCCTCTCAAAAATAAACATTAAAAAAAAAATTAGTCATACTGTTGAAACACTCACTCAATATAAATAATTCACTCAAGAAATAGAATTATTTTTTCTAACATTTATTTATTTTTGAGAGACAGAGAGAAATAGAGGGCAAGTGGGGGAGGGGCAGAGAGAGAGGGAGACTCAGAATCCCAGCAGGCTCCAGGCTCCCAGCTGCCAGCACAGAGCCCCACGCAGGGCTCGAACTCACGGACCGCGAGATCATGAGCTGAGCCGAAGTCGGCCACTCAGCCAACTGAGCCACCCAGGTGCCGCAGAAATAGAATTCTTTATAGCAAGTGCCCCAGAGTCGCATCACTCAGTTACCGCAGATATCAAAAACCAAACTGTTAAATCGGCAAGATGTTTCTGTAGCCTTACTGAACACCTGTAGCCCTATCCTCTGTTGTCTCAATAGGCACCGCGCTTACCTAAGTAATAGCAGATCACATCTGACAGGTACTAACGCTAAGCTTGTACACTGTACTAAGCCTAACATAGACATGTGTGCTCGCCTCACATGGACATGTGTCTGATGCACGTAAAAGCAGATCTAGTTAATGCCCTTTGGGAACGGGAGAGTTTACTTTGCCTTGACTGGTTCTTGTTCTAAGCAAGGAACTCTCAACCTTTCATTTTTAATGATACTCTTTAAAAAAAAAAAAAAAAAAACAACCCCATGACATTGACGGTAAAGGGAACCCATCAGTTCCATCACATGTAGCATATCTGCACATTACTGCATGGCAGATATATTGCAGGCTAAAAGGCAAAGTCCTATTTAGTGATATCGTAAGCAATGGCTCAAAATACATGTAAGAACTGGGGTCTTTTTCACGTTCCCAAAGTCCTGTTAACAGCGGAGGAGTGAAATAGACACAGGGCATGAACATCAAAATCAAAGTTGGGGTTCCAGTGTTCAATTTGGGCATGAAGGGATCTGCTATAGCCATGGAAGCTCACGGAGAAGAGGGAGTCCTTTTGCCCAGAGTCCCTGAGCAAAAATGCAGCTTTCCCTTCAGGAAGGGTTTCCGGGGTGCCTGGGTGGCTCAGTCGGTTGAGTGTCCAAATTCAGCTCAGGTCATGATCTCACAGGTCGTGGGTTTGAGCCCCGTGTTGGGCTGTGTGCTGATAGCTCAGAGCCTGGAGCCTGCTTTGGATTCTATCTCTCTCTCTCTCTCTCTCTCCTGCCTCTCCCCTGCTTGTACTCTGTCTCGAAAATAATTTTTTTTTTAAAAAAAGGGCTTCTGCTTTGTAACACTCTCCAGCAACGGGGATTCCTTGTAATCAGAAAAAAATTAGACAGGAGGCAGTGGATGTAATCAATCTGTGGATAGCTGTCTCCAGATACCTGACGTTGCTTCTGCCTACGTGACTGCAAACACAGGGTGGTTGCGTCCTCTTCTGTGTCACAACCAGCTTGTGAAATGGCAAAACCGTCCCCACTTATTTCAGGCATTCCAGCAGCTAACTTTGGTCCCACTTAATATAACCAACTAGCCTGTGCAGTGGCTTCAATGGATGTATTTGTGTATTAGGAGGGGTGTCAACCTTCTGCAGTACTAAGCCACCTTCTTTTTCTAAGCTTATCTTCTTTATCCTCTATAGAAGCCAAATATGGATCAAATGTATCAAAAAAAAATGTTGAATGTGGTTTCACAGGGGCTGAATGCTTATGTAACCAAATGCCATTTTGGAGCTAAATCTGAGCCAGCAGGAACAGGGCATTTTCAGGATTTAGAAAGGTGTATTAAAAGGCTTAATTCAGACAGGTGTATTTTTCTTTTTTAGAAAAGAAGCGCTTTAACTACTTGTTTTAAGTTCTCGTGGGAAAACACAAGCCCACAGTTCTTGCAACCTTTGTCCCACAGACTGACTTCCTTTCAGGGGTCCAAACAAAGGGACATATTGAAATACTGGTGTCTGGGGCACCTGGGTGGCTCAGTCGGTTAACTCTCTGACTTCAGCTCAGGTCATGATCTCACGGGCCATGAGTTTGAGCCCTGTGTCGGGCTCTGTGCTAACATCTCAGAGCCTGGGCCCTGCTTCTGATTCTGTGTGTGTTGTGTCTCTCTCTCTGCCCCCTCCCACTTGTGCTCTGTCTCTGTCTCTCTCAAAAATTAATATTAAACACACACACACACACACACACACACACACATATGTATATATATTGAAATACTGGTGTCTGGATTGAGAAAGTAAACAACTTTAATGACCAGGTAGCACATCTTTATGCAAATCAGGTAATTAAAAAAGTTTTTTTTAATGCTTATTTGTTTTTGAGAGAGAGACAGTGTGAGCAGGGGAGGGGCAGAGAGAGAGGGAGACACAGAATCCAAAGCAGGCTCCAGGCCAGCTCTGAGCTGTCAGCACAGAGCGCAATGCGGAGCTTGAACCCACGAGCTGTGAGATCACGACCTGAGCTGAAGCCAGACGCTTAACCAACTGAGCCACCCAGGCGCCCGCAAGCCAGGTAGTTTCAAATTATTTGATTTTGATAAAATTCAATGAGCGCCTCCTGGAATTGTCAGTTGATGGGTCATTAAAACAAGCTTTGGTGATGGTTACTGCATGATTTTTGGCAAATTCTTTGGAAGGAGTTGCAAAAGAACTCCGAGAATTACATTGCTGATGGCAAAACTCTTTTTATTCCCATCTACTTGTTTCATATAAGCCAATTGTCTTGGTCATTACCAAAAAAAAAAATAGGAACAGAACGACACAGGACCCGTTGAGAAAACTCACCTCCCTTCTACTGAGGTAGTATTTGCAATAAGACTTCATTTATCAAAAAATGATGCTGTACATTATTTTGATTAATCCTGCAATAAGAATCCTTGCAATAATAGGTAGAAAGTTTTTAGAAGACTACGATCACAGGAAATGTTTTTAAAAATTGAATTTCAGTGTAAATGCACATTTCTGTGGTAAAGAAGTATCATAGGATGATCAATAAGAACTTTCAGGCATAAAATTATACTACTTGAGGATAAACTTCTGCAAGAGTAAAATGTAATAAAAACGCAAATTCAAGGAGAAAAAGGAATAACGTAGCGTTTCTTGTAGTTAACAAAGTCGTTTTACTGTATTTACATATAAATGGATGATGGTGGGCATCAAACTGCTGTAGTATTTAAACTCCGCTGGATGGCATTCAAAGCTGATGTAACACTTTTATTTTTAAAAATGTTTATTTATTTTGAGAAAGCACGCGCAGTGAGAGGGGGGCAGTGAGAGGGAGAGAATCCCAAGCAAGCTCCACACTCAGCGCGGAGCCTGATGAGGCGGGGGCTCGGTCCCACTACCATGAGATCTTGACCCGAGCCAAAATCAAGAGTCAGACGCCCAACCAACTGAGCCACCCAGGTGCCCCTGTAACACTCTTATTGTAAAGTGTCAATTTCCTTTCCAGTTTGTTTGCTTTTATTTAATCTTCTTGCCTAGTGACTCTAGCTGGAACCTCCAGTTCAATACTGAAGAGAAGTGGTAAGAACGGACATCCCTGTCTTATTCCTGACCTTAGAGGGAAGGCATTCAGTCTCTCACCATTAAATACGATGTTAGCTGTGGGGGTTTTCAGAGATGCCCTTTATCAGATTGAGGAAGTTCCCTTCCTTTTCCAGTGTGTTGAATGTTTCGCATGGGGGTAGTTTTCAAGAGTTATTTTAGTAAGTTAGGGGAGCAAAGTGTTCGAAAGCTCAAGTTCAGGCTCCTTGGACACCCTGTCCCTGCTATACCCTCGGCAATAAGCACAGTCCTGCACATATAAGAGGCCCAACAAACATTTGTCGAGCAAACTGTGTCCCACCTCCCCCCTGGCATTTTACTCTCTAGTGACGCTACGGTGTTTAGGCCCCGCCCCTACTCCCCAATACCGTGCTTATGTGGCCAGAGTTCTCTCCCCTCTCTTCTGTTCCCAGCTGGCACCGATTCATGCTTTCCAGCGCTGTCCAGATGTCATCTCATTCAGGAGATCCCTCTCTCCCCATCCCTCCTCAGATCCTGAGCTGTCGGGGTCTCCTTCTTGTGCTGCCATGGTACTTCGTGATTCGACCATTGTGCTCTGTGTGAATTATTTATTTACCTGTCCATCCCTCGCTAAACTAGATGGGCGATATGGTTTGTGGCCAACAGTGTGGAATCAGGAACCTGACAGCCCAGATTCAAAACCCTGCCTCTTACAACTTTGGGTGGCCTTGGTTATTTATTTATTTATTTATTTATCTATTTATTTATTTATTTAGAGGGCGCAAGTGAGTGAGGGACAGAGAGAGAGAAAGGGAGGGAGGGGGGGAGGGAAAGCTGGGCCTCACCTGAAGTGGGCCTTGTATTCCACCTGATGCGGGGCTCAAACTCACTCAGTGCGGACTCACAAACTGTGAGTTCGTGACCTGAGCAGAAGTCAGATGCTTAAAGGCTGAGCCACCTAGGCGCTCTGGGCGGCCTTGGTTATGCCTCAGTTTCCTCATCCGCCAGAGATGCTGATAATAGCACCGATTTGGTAGTGTTGTTTGACAGCTGAGCGACAACAGTGTCTAGTAAACAGTAATTATTTTATGAGGTAGCTATTAAGTCCTATAGGGCAAGGAGTTGGTGTTTTCCTTCTCTGCTTCTCACGGCCCTGGCCTGCGGGCGGGCGCTCAATAAATTCGTCACGAAGGGTGAGCGTGGCGGAAAGTACCTGCGAGAAGGAAAAGCAAGATGGGTTCAACATGGCACAGCGGGTAGATTCCAGAATTCGAGGGTGTAAACCATTGCTGTGTATTGCCTACACTGCCTTCGCTCTGCCCCTGAGATTGCCAGACTGGAGAAATTAAATCCCTGTCGTTATGGGCTTCCTCTCCCTAGGGTCACATAAGAGCTTGGGAGGTTTAGGCACTGCTCAGAAAATAGGGTACATACTTCCAATCTTCAGTCCGTTATTTTTATTGTCCAAGCCTGCATGGCCCCTGGAACGTATTTAGTATAGCAGAGCACCTTTGCCTGGCCTGGCAGCCTCCTGGGGGCACTCCACCTCACGATGTTTATAATTTCCCTTAAAACATTTCGGCATACATCCTGGGAACCAAGGACAGGGAAGCATAGTCTAGGTGAGAACGTTCTTCTGGTACCTACAGAACCATAGAGAGGATTCGATGTATCCCTGTTTTGGCAACTCACCTGGAGAGGAGGGGCCGTAAAACTTTCTGAATCGTTCCCCTGGTGGTGGACTCCCATGTTTCTTTCTTTTTCTTTAATTGGCATTTTTCGAGAAACGAACCCACCCTTCCAAAAGAAAATACTTGGAGCATATTAAAACCTTTGGCAAAGACAGAATGACATTTGTAGGCACTACTCATAGTTACCCCCAGGGGCAGCTTGTACTGTAATCTGCAATTCCTCTGCCAGGGGTGGTTTGCGAACATCCTAGTCAGAAGATGGCTTCAACCAAGGGTTCAGGGTAATCGATTACCACGGATCCCGCCAACGACAGCTTTTTAAAACGACAATCATTACGCAAACTAACATCAGCTCCCCTCGTGAGAGGAAACCTGCTTCTGATGTCACCTCTGGGGTTGATCAGGATTGGAACAGCATAACGAAGTTGAAAGCAGACTCCCTCTCTGGTTCTCTGATGCCTCCTATGTGGGAGACAGAGTCCTCCCTCTGTGACACGGTTGCCCCACCCTGAGTAAAGCTTTGATGCATGCCGTGGCCAGAGCCTCCAAACGGACAGAGAGACCTCAAAGAAGCTAGTGTGCCTGCCTGCTAATGAGTGTTTAATAAATGGTGTGTGTGTGTGTGTGTGTGTGTGTGTGTGTGTGTGTGTTTGGTTGTGGCAGATTTTAGACTGCCACTTTTTCTTTATGTATTCTGGGAGTAAGGATGTGAAGCAGGCAACCCCTCGTCACTCCGGACTTCTCTGGCAGCTACTGTAACCGACAAAAAAAAAGAAGGCCGAGTTGGACGTGACCATCTTAGGTCAGTTTGCAACACCTTGCTGTCTCCCTGGAGCACTTCCAGGGAGCAGGGCGAGGGCTCTAGCTGCCTCTGGAACCACCGATCTCTGTCACCTCCTCATTGCCAGAGAATCTCCTGCTTCCTCTAACTTTCCTGCGGTGGGCAGAGCATCCAAAATGATGGAGACACCAAGACCTCAGAGAACTTACATAGTTTCCCGTCTCACCAAGCCAAGCCTTTTATTCTTTCATCTCCTCCCCCTAGTCTCCCCAACCCTTCACTCCAACACAATTCCCTCGTGAAGCTCAAGCTTTCATAGAAAAGAACAAAAAACAAACGAAGTCGGGAAGGGGGCTGTCTCCAAGCAGCTTCTGTTCTCAAGCCTCTCCAGGGACCAGAGAGCCCAAAGGGCTGACTTACTGGCTTAAAAAATGCTAGCCACCTTGGGTGTATCCTATAGACTGCCCAGACAGGCTGTGCTGGATATTCTGTTTTCCCTCCAGATTAACCCTCCACCCGTCTCCACCCTCTCTGTGTCCTGGGCAGCTGGCTTGCGTGGACTGCATCACCCAGGCACCCTTGCCTTCTAACTTGAAGTGGGTTCAGTCAATGGGAGGCACTAGCCTGAGAGGATGAGAAGCAAAGAAGTTGGGTATTTAAATCCCTGCTGGGCAATGGCTTTGTCCTTTTATCAAGGGACACAGCTGCTGTCAGGCACTTCTTTCTTATCACTACAATTCTGATATGGGTTGAATTGTGCCCCCCGCCTCCCCCCC